GAGGAGAGAGAGAGAAAGAGAAGAGAGAAAGAGAAGAGAGAAAAAGAGAAAGAGAGAGGAGAGAAAGAGAGAGAGAGAGAGGAGAGAAAAGAGAGAGAGAGAGGAGAGAGAAAAAGAGAGAGAGAGAGGAGAGAGAGAAAAAGAGAGAGAGAGAGAGGAGAGAGAAAAAGAGAGAGAGAGAGAGGAGAGAGAAAAAGAGAGAGAGAGAGAGGAGAGAGAAAAGAGAGAGAGAGAGAGGAGAGAGAAAAAGAGAGAGAGAGAGAGGAGAGAGAAAAAGAGAGAGAGAGAGAGGAGAGAGAAAAAGAGAGAGAGAGAGAGGAGAGAGAAAAAGAGAGAGAGAGAGAGGAGAGAGAAAAAGAGAGAGAGAGAGAGGAGAGAGAAAAAGAGAGAGAGAGAGAGGAGAGAGAAAAGAGAGAGAGAGAGAGGAGAGAGAAAAAGAGAGAGAGAGAGAGGAGAGAGAAAAAGAGAGAGAGAGAGAGGAGAGAGAAAAAAGAGAGAGAGAGAGAGGAGAGAGAAAAAGAGAGAGAGAGAGAGGAGAGAGAAAAAGAGAGAGAGAGAGAGGAGAGAGAAAAGAGAGAGAGAGAGAAAAAGAGAGAGAGAGAGAGAGAGAGGAGAGAGAAAGAGAGAGGAGAGAGAGAGAGAGGAGAGAGAAAAAGAGAGAGAGAGAGAGAGGAGAGAGAAAGAGAGAGAGAGAGAGAGAGAGGAGAGAGAAAAAGAGAGAGAGAGAGAGAGGAGAGAGAAAAAGAGAGAGAGAGAGAGAGGAGAGAGAAAAAGAGAGAGAGAGAGAGGAGAGAGAAAAAGAGAGAGAGAGAGAGGAGAGAGAAAAAGAGAGAGAGAGAGAGGAGAGAGAAAAAGAGAGAGAGAGAGAGAGGAGAGAGAAAAAGAGAGAGAGAGAGAGAAAAAGAGAGAGAGGAGAGAGAGAAAAAGAGAGAGAGGAGAGAGAAAAAGAGAGAGAGAGAGGGAGGAGAGAGAAAAAGAGAGAGAGAGAGGGAGGAGAGAGAAAAAGAGAGAGAGAGAGGAGAGAGAAAAAGAGAGAGAGAGAGGAGAGAGAAAAAGAGAGAGAGAGAGGAGAGAGAAAAAGAGAGAGAGAGGAGGAGAGAGAAAAGAGAGAGAGAGAGGAGAGAGAAAAAGAGAGAGAGAGAGGAGAGAGAAAAGAGAGAGAGAGAGGAGAGAGAGAAAGAGAGAGAGAGAGGAGAGAGAAAAAAGAGAGAGAGAGGAGAGAGAAAAAGAGAGAGAAAGAGAGGAGAGAGAAAGAGAGAGAGAGAGGAGAGAGAAAAAGAGAGAGAGAGAGGAGAGAGAAAAAGAGAGAGAGAGAGGAGAGAGAAAAGAGAGAGAGAGAGGAGAGAGAAAAGAGAGAGAGAGAGGAGAGAGAAAAAGAGAACGAGAGAGGAGAGAGAAAAAGAGAGAGAGAGAGGAGAGAGAAAAAGAGAGAGAGAGAGGAGAGAGAGAAAAGAGAGAGAGGGAGGAGAGAGAAAAGAGAGAGAGAGAGGAGAGAGAAAAAGAGAGAGAGAGAGGAGAGAGAAAAAGAGAGAGAGAGAGGAGAGAGAAAAAGAGAGAGAGAGAGGAGAGAGAAAAAGAGAGAGAGAGAGGAGAGAGAAAAAGAGAGAGAGAGAGGAGAGAGAGGGAGGCGAGAGAAAAAGAGAGAGAGGGAGGCGAGAGAAAAAGAGAGAGAGGGAGGCGAGAGAAAAAGAGAGAGAGAGAGAGGAGAGAGAAAAAGAGAGAGAGAGAGAGGAGAGAGAAAAAGAGAGAGAGAGAGAGGAGAGAGAAAAGAGAGAGAGAGAGAGAGGAGAGAGAAAAGAGAGAGAGAGAGAGAGGAGAGAGAAAAAGAGAGAGAGAGAGAGGAGAGAGAAAAAGAGAGAGAGAGGAGAGAGAAAAAGAGAGAGAGGAGAGAGAAAAAGAGAGAGAGGAGAGAGAAAAAGAGAGAGAGGAGAGAGAAAGAGAGAGAGAGGGAGGAGAGAGAAAAAGAGAGAGAGAGAGAGGAGAGAGAAAAAAAGAGAGAGAGAGAGGAGAGAGAAAAAGAGAGAGAGAGAGGAGAGAGAAAAAGAGAGAGAGAGAGGAGAGAGAAAAAGAGAGAGAGAGAGGAGAGAGAAAAAGAGAGAGAGAGAGGAGAGAGAAAAAGAGAGAGAGAGAGAGGAGAGAGAAAAAGAGAGAGAGAGAGGAGAGAGAAAGAGAGAGAGAGAGATGAGAGAGAAAAAGAGAGAGAGAGGGAGGGAGGGAGGGAGAGAAAGAGGGAGGGAGAGGGAGAGAGAGCGAGCGAGCTAGCGAGCTTGCGAGATGGGTTGGATCTGTTAGGCAGACAAATAGATATAGGTAGATAGAAGGGGAGGGAGGGAGGAAAACAGAGAAAGAATGAATAGAAATTTATATTGTATTTTTTTTATTTCGTTCATGTTATTCATCATCATCATCTTTTTTTTCTTTTTCTTTTTCTTATTTTTTGATGGTTAACACTGCGGTTCCATTCGTTGAGTAGACCAAATCGGTGCTTAGTTGGTTTTCGTTTAGCAGCGTAACGGATCTGGTGACAAGATGTTTTGCCTTGCACCATATCTCGTTTCATGGTGGAGTTATGAGGAAATTCGACAAGGAAAATGTGTTGGCATCACGCGGTGTCTCACATATCCAGGTGTTATTACCTCGTAGCATGTTTAAGAGAGGGAATGCCAGCAACCCTTTATGTTGTTTTTATCTTTATATGCCGCGTGTCATTTCTTGATTATGCCGGCTTAAGATGTAATTTTCAATGGTGTTCGTAACTCGCTTAAATGAGCTTGCGATATGTTTCAGCCTTGATCCAGCCCTTGTGTGAAAAAATGAAGAAAACAAAGATAATGGTAATCATTTAGAAAAGCTTGCAGAGTAAGCGTATGTAATGAAATAAATGTTTTTCGTTGAAGAAAGAGGAAACCCCCTTCTGACGTCATGAGATTACTAAACCCCGGTTTGTGTGTTTTTCATTGCCTTAGAATCTTTCGTAATTTTGTCGCATTTTCCTCTTCCCTCATTTGACCATAACAGTTTATTATCCTAATGAAGATGATAGTCTTCGAATGTGTGTGTGTGTGTGTGTGTGAGTGAGTGAATATATATATATATATATATATATATATATATATATATATATATATATATATATATATATATACATATATATATATATATATACATATATATATATATATATATATATATATATATATATATATATATATATACATATATATATATATATACATATATATATATATATATATATATATATATATATATATATATATATATATATATATATATATATAATGTTTATCTATTTGTATATGTATGTATATTTATATCATATGTATGTATGTTTGTATTATATGTATGTATATTTATGTATACATATGTATGCATATTTATATATATATGTATATGTATATTTATTTATATATGTATATGTACATGTATGTGTGAATGTATATATATGTATAGGTATATTTATATGTATATGTATATTTATTTATATCTATATGTTTATACACATATATATATATATATATATATATATATATATATATATATATATATATATATATAAATATATATGTATATATTGTTTACAATCTGTATATATATATATATATATATATATATATATATATATATATATATATATATATATATATATATATATATATATATATGCACGTATATGTGTATATGTTTATGTATATGTATATATATGCATGTAAATATATTGTGAACAGCACGTAGCAAGACCGGATGGCAGAGTCACACCTCGGTCCAAGCAAATGCCTTTCTCCTTGGGCAGGACGCAGGTGTTGCCTTCCTTTCTCTTTTCACACAGGAATAAACATCCGCCCTCCAAGGAAACCGCCGCATAAAAGGGCACGTGCCTATGACGACGGGGAAGGAGACACGGCAGACAGGCCAAGCGACACAGGGTCCAGCTCCACCACCTCGTCCTCCACCCGGGGACACGGGGGTCTCTTGGGGGTCTCATATCTATCTTCAGAAATAAACCAGCAAGTTAAGACCCCTTTCATTGACCGCCCAAGACCATCTCTGTTACGCTTACATCTAGTGGCTTGCGTGGTCACTTACGCTTACATATATATGTATGTATATGTATATATACATACGTATATATACGTATATATATGTGTATTTATATAGATGTATATATGTATATGAGGGTGGCATAGCTCAGTGGTAGAGCGCTGGCTTTGCAGTCGCCCGGTCCAGGGTTCGCGCCCGGCCGCCGCCCCTCTCAGTCGAATCAGCTGTGAATGAGTACTGATATGCTGACGTCATCATGTTGGGGCCAAAGTCGAGGCGGAAAGGAACTGGCCATCCTACCGCATCATCCCGCGGCTTACTAAGCATGGTTCTCTGCGAGCATGTCACCTACGTTCACATGGATATGGCACCAACTTTGATTTGATTTATGTATATTTATATGTATAGGCCTATATATGTATGTATCTGTATATGTATATATGTATATGCCTATATATATTTTATGTATTTTTGTATGCTTATATATGTATGTATTTATATATGTATATGTAGATATATAGTGTGAGCATGCTCGCGTGCCTGCCTGCTTGCGCGCGTGCGCGCGTGTGTGTGTGTGTGTGTGTGTGTGTGTGTGTGTCTGTCTGTCTGTCTGTGTGTCTGTACGCGCGCGCGTGTTTATATGCCCGTGTGTGCGCGTGCGCGCGTGTGTGTGTGTGTGTTTACAAACCTCAACAAACACGTACATTCAATGGTGTGGATGGATGGAGGGAGGAAGGGGTGATATTTATGTTTGTGACATATCACAATGACTTGTGATGAATTTAGAGAGACCGGCGGTCAGAAGAGAGGAGATAGACAGACAGACACCCGACGTGCTTGTCGTCATGTTACGGTGCTTAAGATGGGCATTTGAGTGCAGTTCTTTGTGATTTCAGCCCTCTCTTTAATTTTTCCTTCTGTACACTTAATATCTTTATGAGATGTACGTGACATTACCTGATACTTCAAAAGAGTGGCAGCTGTCCTTAATAGATGCTCCAGAACGCAATCAAGAGAGTATGGGAGGAAGAGGGAGAACGAGAAGGGGAAGAGGGAGGGAGAAGAAGAAAAGGGAGAGGGAGGGAGGAGGAGTGAGAGAGGGAGGGAGAAGGAAAGAGAGAGAAAGAGGTAGAGAAAGGGGGAAGAGAGGATGTGGGAGAGGGAAAGATAGAGGGAGAGGGCGACATATATATATAGAGAGAGAGATTGAGAGTCAGAGGGAGAGGGCGATATATATATATATATATATATATATATATATATATATATATATATAGAGAGAGAGAGAGAGAGAGAGA